TGTGTATATGTATATATTTATTATACACACATATATATATATATATATATATGTTGTGTGTGTGTGTGTGTGTATATATATATGTATATATTTAATAAGATATATACAAACACACATAAAAATCAAGATTTAATTAGCAAACATAGTTATTCACATTCAATTGTTTCAATTACTATATTTTTTTAACATGATCGTCAAAAATAAAAATAAATATTGGCTTTCTACACTATTTCTTCAACGGGAACGTTTCGTTTAACTACGTTGCGATTGAACACGTCCGCTCATATCGAGTGGTGCTTAGAAATTTTCTAATACACCATCTATCTAGTATTCAATCAATTGGCAACATGGGCAATCGAGTGTTACTCTTCTTTAACTTGTATAATATGCATATGTAGTAATAGTTATAAAGAGAAATCAAAAAAGATTTGATAGCTATCACGATTGTAGTAGGAATTCATAAATCTCTTATATAATAAAGTACCCTCAAGGGATAGGGGACTTTTTATGATTAAAAAGAGAACCTCCGTTAGCTGGCAATCCTTCTTTCCAACGGAATATCACTCTCGGAATCGCTGGATTCATTGGTACCCACAACATCATCCAGAGATATAGATCTTTCCCTTTTTATTTCTTTAATGTTTGTCTCGGAATCGCTGAGATCGTTGCTATCAATATTATCGTCGAAGGACACAGATCTTTCTCTCTTTATCTTTTTAATTTCTAGCTCGGAATCACTGGATTCATTGGCATCTACAGTATCCTCCAAGGATACAAACCTCTCTTTCTTTATTTCCTTAATTTCAATTTTCTGCGTCTTGTTTAGCTAAATATAAATATAACATTAAATTATTTATATTTTATTGTGTATATCACATATTAAATTACGTTATTTGAAATTTAATTATATAGCCATATCTTTATAAATCATATATATTAAATTATTTTAAACATTTATTACAATATTATACATTATTAAGACTAATTGTATCATCTAAATTTATATATCAGATTTTACTAATAATAAGTCTAAATAACATAATCAAGATTTTAAAGCATTTTACCTCTATTTCGTGCTTAATTGCTTTCTTAAATATATTAGAACGTGGTATATATTTATCAGCCATAGTCTCTACTCTTCTGATGTCGAATGTCTGATCGATTCTAGTTACAGTCTGCATTCTTTGTTGTTCAGAAGTTACATATAAATCATCTGGCTGATGGTAAGCATTGTGAACATTATAGGCCTTCTTGTTGCAAAACAATGCTGAGCATACTGTACATTTGATTAAATCATCTGGCATAGTTTCCCTTTCCTCCTGTCAAATAATACATATTATAGATATTTGAATTTATATATAT